TATTATGTCAAAACTAGTACCTTATTTTGTTGTGTATTCATATTCCACGTATATGTACAAATAGATGTTCATTTCCAAAAATTTTGAGGTGCCTTATCATTTTGTCCACCAGTGTATGTCACACTAAAAATCGTCCATCTACAGGGTGGTCCACGCAATTGTTTCAAGTCATAACTCCGTTATTATTGCATTTACGCAAAAATACCAAAGGAGAAAGATAAATGGTTCGAAGAGCACTACATCTGTAGACCTTTAAATTTTTTTTAGATGCAGCAATGCATGTGCAATTAACAATTGCATCATTTCTTTAAATAGAAATGCATATTTTTTTTTACACATATCGATTCTTCTGTTCATTCTGCGTATAAAATGATTAGGGTACCATGGCGAAAAAATTATTAGATCTCGAGATATTTTCAAAAAATGTCTTTATTGAAGAAGATACTCAAACACTTCATGACTATGTTGTAAAGGTAAACACCCTTTCGACATTGTTATCATAACAGAAACTCATTTGTATGAGTAAGCATTTCATCATTCAGTAGCAATTCACATATCGTAACTCGAGTACGAAAACTAAGAACTTGAAAAAGTACGTTTTCTAAAAAATAAGTTTTGCAATAAAGTTATCGCAACAAATACATCAATACGTTGGCCAGCTCGTTCACCTGATTTAAGTCCCCTTGACTCTTTTCTGTGGGGTTATTTGAAAGATAGAATTTGTTCAAATCCCATAGATTCTGTAGAGAATCTGAGAGAAAGAATCATACTGGAATGTGCAGCAATAACTGCAGATAATTTAAACGCAGTTATGCAAACAATAAAGAAACATTATCAGAAATGTTTAGAATGTAATGGAGAAGCGTTTGAGCATCTTCTTCAATAAGGACATTTTTTGAAAATATCTCGAGATCTAATAATTTTTTTGCCATGACACCCTAATCATTTTTTACGTAGAATGAACAGAAGAATCGATCTGTGTAAAAAAAAATATGCATTTCTATTTAAAGAAATGATGCAATTGTTAATTGCATATGCACTGCTGCATCTAAAAAAAATTTAAAGGCCTACAATTGCGTGGACCACCCTGTATAATATTCGTGGATTTCCCTAACTAACATATGTGTGTTCAACTGTTTTTCACATTTTTTCGCTTAGTAACCATTAGATGAACATAGTTTTATCATACTGTTTCATTAATTTATCGATTTGGAAAAATAGAATCTCAAAGAAAACGAACAACAATGAAGATACGAAAATTAGTAATTTTCCATTATAATGAAGGTAAATTTTAACATGAAATTGTACGAATTATAAATAGAAGTCGTACTACAATAGAATACATTCTTAAAAGATATAAAAGTGAAAACCGAATATCAAATAAATTAAAAAAAAATAAGAAGAAGATTTTAAACGATAATTATGAGCGATATGTTTTGCGATAAATTAAGAAAAATCCCAGGAAAAGTGTCCCAGAAATAGCTGCAGATGTTGAAATACATTTAAATAAAAAGGTGCACCTAGAAAATATTCGTAGAATACTACGGAAAAATAATTATTATGGTCGAGTAGCAAGAGGAAAGCCATTCATCAGTGAAAAAACAAACTTAAAAGAATCGAATTCACTCGGAAGTATATTAATCAAGGCTTTTCGTTTTGGAAAAACGTTCTGTTTGCAGACGAAAGTCAATTTCACATTTTTGGTTCAGGTGGGAGGGTCACAGTCTGGAGGAAACCGAACACAAAATTAAATGTAAAGAATATCTTACCCTTACATTTAAAAAAGGCGGCGGTTCTGCCATGGCTTGGGGCTGTATGTGTCGGTGCATTACATTTTATTGAGGGAAATATGGACAGATGGATGTACTTAGATATTCTAAGGAAGAATTTGAAAGAAAGTACCGAAAAATTAGGCATTTTGAATACATTCCACTTTTATCAGGACAACGACCCTAAGCATAAGTCTGCAATCGTTCGGGAATGGTTACTCTATAATTGCCCAAAGGTAATTGAAACACCACCCCAATTGCCGGATTTAAATGTTATTGAGCATATATGGTACGAGTTAGAGACCACAATTCAGCAACGTTTCATAACAAACAAAGAACAATTAAAAGAACCGTTCAAAATAGAATGGAATAAAATGTCTTCTGAATATACCGAAAAATTAGTTAAATAGATTTAATAATAGGCTTAGAGAAGTAGAGAACAGTAAAGGAAATCCGACCAAATATTAGAAATAAAACTTTTTATAATTAGTTTTTGGTTTATAACTAGATGGACGATTTTCATTGTGTGGTTCATTTCATACATGTACATTTAAAATGCTGTAATGTAACTATCTTTTTACAAAAATTTGTATTTTTGGGTTATATTACGTAATAATAAAAACAAAATAGTTCGCTATTCACAATATGTACATATTTTTTACTTGTATTTAGACTTTTATAAAAATTCATACATACTTAACCACGGTGGACGATTTTCACTGTGAGCCACTGTACAGTTAGTTTCATTCGCTATTTATAAAAGAAATTTATCGAAACTATGTGCTGCGTTTAAAATTTTACGATAAACTTTTATGCAAAGATTACTCGTAAAATTTCTGCAAAAGTATTCGTATTCTGCTTAGCAGGAGCCATTTTGTTTTATTTATTTTAAAGCGAATTTTAACGATCTATTTTAATTCGAAACATTGTTGAAATAACATTGATAATTAGACGTTAACGTGTAAAAGAATTTTTAAATTACATAAAAAATGATATATCGTTAGTTTCGAAGTTCTTGGACATTTTCAACAATAATGTGTTATTTACCTCTCTGTACATCGATACATCTACGCAATATCAATGCATACTGTATTTGCTTCGTTTGACCTAACGACCTACTTGATAAGTTGCAGATATGCAGTAGCTTCGTATGCTATCCAAAACCTTTAGCAAAGTAAGTATAGTGTGCATTAATAATGCGTAGATGTATGTAGGTCGTATCGAACATTTGACGTAGATTTGTGTACAGAAGTTGAATAATACTTCGCTATTGAAAATGTCTCAAAACTTCGAAACTAATGATATTTAAACCCATGTTTACTAAGTACGACATGGTTTTGAGACACCTGGCATAGAAAACTCAGAAAATTTATCACTAAATGCACGTACAGTGAGTGTAAAAAGTATTCGTACACTAGTCAATTTGAACAAAAACTTTGCAGAACTTTGTTTATTACAAAAGTATGTTAACAAAAACATGCATACATATTCTTAGAAATCTCTGGAACAAATCTCATTAACAACAAATTATTTATTTATATTTATTATGAAAATATTAACAAATTTCCAGAAATTGGCGTGAAATATACGTGTAATAAGTATTCGTACACTTCTAATTTTACAACAAAAACTGTAAATTTTAGCACATAAACGTAACAAAAATCAGTCTATTTGTTATTTTAGTATCTAGTGGGATTTCCTTGAGATTGTATAATCGCTTTAAGCCTTTGCGGCATTGAATTTACTAAATTTGTGGTTATAGTACTAGAAATTTTGTTCCATTCCTCTAAAAGTGCATTTTTTTAATCTTGTTTCGAAGAAATGTGATGGTCTTGAATTTTTTCTTCAAGATGACTCCATAAGTGCTCTATCACATTTACGTCTGGAGACTGTGGAGGGATTTTTAATTGCTGCGGCACATTATATAGGATCCACTGACGTGTATTATAAGCATTATGCTTTGGATCATTATCTTGCAAAAATATATAATTGCCCTGTAACTGCATTTTATTTGCACTAACCTGAAGATGCTCTTTTAGAATATCGATGTACATTTTGTGATCCATGATACCATCGATAAAATGCAGGGATCCAACCCCGCTCGCACTCGTAGAGCCCCAAACTGTGACTGATCCTCCTCCATGCTTTACGGTCGGCTTCAAATTTCTTTTTTCGTACTCGGTATTTTTTTCCGCCATACTGTACATCGTCCATCTGACCCAAATATGTTAAATTTACTCCCATCGGTAAATATAATACGGTTCCAGTGCTCCATAGGAACATTAACGTACTCTTTCGCGAATTGCAATCGTTTCTCTCTATTAATTTCATTTACGAAATATTTCTTACGAGCTACTCTGCTGTGATATCCTCTATCCCGTAAAAAATTACGCACTGTGCTACTGCATACGTTAATGTCCAGATCATTTTTAAGTTCAGCTGTGATTTTCACCTCACTTATCTTTGGATTTTGCTTTATTTTTCGAATTATCCATCGGCCGGTATACTCATTTATTATTCGTTTACGTCCGTTTCTTGGATTATTTTTTACAGTTTTTCGATCGCCATATCTGTCAATGATTCCTTGAATCGTGGACCTCGGTCTATTTAAAACTTTAGAAATTTCACTCAGTGTTTTACACTTATTATGTAAATTTATAACAATTTTCCTTTCTTTTTCAGAGGTTTCCTTGCGTTTTCGTCCCATTTTACTGATAATTTCGTTGATAATGTTTGAATTCAGGATACTACCTATACCGACAGCGTCTCCAGACATACTGATGCTAAGTATGTTTACATATCATGGATTATCTTGTAATCGTTCTATGTGGAATGTTACGAATCAACGACTGTACGAATACTTATTACGCGTATATTTTAGGTCAATTTCTTGAAATTTATTAATATTTTCATAACAAATATAAATTAATAATTTGTTGTTAATGACATTTGTTCCAGAGATTTTTAAGAATATGTATGCATGTTTTTGTTAACATACTTTTGTAATAAACAAAGTTCTGCAAAGGTTTTGTTCAAATTGACTAGTGTACGAATACTTTTTACACTCACTGTATCTTTGTTCAAGATTGTAACGTATCGTTCGTTCGCTTTAAATAACAGTAATTCCCAGTTGTGTTCCCAGCTCGAGGGATTAATTCGTTCGATGGTAAGGATTAACAAATCGATAAAATAGATAATTTGAATTGTTTCGTGTACAAGTCTGTATCTGACCTGGAAGATGGTGACCTTCTTCAGCACCGAGAGATTAACGTGTAACGCCAGCTCGGTCTTCAGCTTATCCGGAAGCAGACCCAGCGCGGTGTTGATGTCGCCGCCGCCCTGTATCCGTCCGCGCGACCAGCTGTAGTCGTACCACCTGAGGACCCTTCTTTTCATTCCTCCAGGCACTTTATGGTGTCTCATGTAGGTCTTTGCGCCGTCGAGCAGCCTCTCGAACTCCAGCCGGTTCGCGTTCCGATTGGTGATCACGTTCCCGACCTGTCCGACGATTGTCGCGAAAATGAAGACGCCGATCAGGTAGCTGACTATCGTGAAGACGTACCTGCGGATCAGGAAGCGAGAAAAATATCCGATCAGTCCAAGGAGGATGTGAACGATGTCCTCAGTTCATGGACGAGCGGCCCCCGCCGGAGCCTTTCTCCTTTTTTTTTTTATTCCTCCCTTACTTGCCTCCTCTCTTTCTTTCGTACGTTTGCTCCTTCACGTTCGACCATCTTCCTTCCTTCCTTCCTTTCTTCCTTTTAACTTAACGTGATTACTTACTTGCTCTATTTGCTCTTTCACTCCTCAATCGTGACATTCAGTCGCGCCCAACCTCTTGCTCTCTTCTCGCCCAGAAGAATACAGTTGCGGACAAAATTAAGTGGACAGGTGGGGAAAATAGGTATGAATTTAATTTAATCAAAGTACTATAACTATTATGCACTTAAGTTTTGTATATTATACAGGGTGTTCCGCATTTTTCTATACACACCTCAGCAGTGTGTTCTACAAGTAAAACTAAGATTGAAATGTTATATAACAAATTCCATAAATGCTTAGTTAAGAAGTTATAACAAAAATATGAGTCGTGAAACTTGATTGATAAGTATATATGAATAAAGTAAAATCAATCTTTTGTAAGTATTCGATATTGTGAGTTTTTGTGCAATTTATTGAACATAAACTTGAACAATAGTTACAAATTTTATGACAACAAACAGTTATCACCGAAAGAAGAGATATTTCAGCACACAAGATAAATGATAGAAACTAAACTCTGATAAAGAAATGTTTAAGTTATCTACATAATTCTACGTTAAAAATATTTTTTCGTGTCTCAACTAGCAGTTGCTCTCTTTAAACAAAATTTTAGTAAATTTGTTTGTTTAGTAAATAAAAGAACAACTTTTATATACAACATTTTATGTTTCTGTCATAACTTTTTAACAAAGCGTTTATGAATTTGTTGTTATATAACACTTTAGTCTTATTTTTACTTGTAGAACGCACTGCTAAAGTGTGTACAGAAAAATGCGGAACACCCTGTATCTTTATGGTAGATAATTTAGCGACTAATTGAAATTAATGTTTATATTTGTGTTGAAATAAAGTATACTTAACGAAAATGTTGATTGATCGCCGAGGGACAAAAATAAGAGAACACTCGTTTAAGATGTTATTACAACGCGAAAAATGTGAACAATCGCGAAGTATTCAAATGAATTATTTGGTCGATGCAGAAGCTTTCCATAAAACAGATTATTTGTAAGGAAACAGCAGAATATTTTGTAAGAAAAAAATTTTCAAATCAAATTCGTAATTTGATTATAGCGAACTGTCGAAATAAATTAAGTTACTGTATAGTAGCAAAAAAATACTGCTTTTCTAAAAGTGCGGTTGAAAAAGTTTTATATGCCACCGCGAGCGAAGATCGTCAAATTACTCGTAAATGTCGACAAAACCCAAGAATCTCAGCGCGAAACATTGTTGAAATGTTAAAATTAACTGTGTTATTGAAAATAGTACAATGAAGGTTGGATGAAACGGGGTTAAGATACTATAAATCCAAACGTAAACCGCACATTAATAACATCAACACGAGGAAACGTTTAGCTTCTGCTAAAATATACAGGGTGATCGGCCACCTCTGAGAAAAATTTTAATGGTAGATTCTAGAGGCCAAAATAAGACGAAAATCAAGAATATCAATTTCTCGATTGAGGCTTCGATAAAAAGTTGTAGAAACATTTCCGGCCACACAGTATATTTTCGGTAAAGAATTTTTTTCTCGCAAGTACGTAGGATTTCGAGGGTATGTCTGTTCACAAAAAATGATTGTAATTAACCCCCGCAACCGAAAATAATTTTTTTACAATGATTTGAAATTTGTTAACTTCGACGAAAAATTTGTCCACTTACTGAATTTTTTTCTCGAAAGTGCATAGGATTTCGGTTGTATGTCTATTGACCAAAAATGATTGTAATAGACCCCCTCAGCCGAAAATAATTTTTTTAGAACGATTTGAAGTTTTTTTAATTTAATTTTTTAATAACTTTTTAACGAAGCTTCAATCAACAAATTAGTATCCTTGATTTTCGTCTTATTTTGGCCTCTAGAATCTACCATTAAAATTTTTCCCAGAGGTGGCCGGACCCCCTGTATAAATATATCAGTATCATTCCAGAGAAAGATAATATGGAGCGATGAAAAGAAATTTAAACTGCAGCAATTAAAAAAGAGGCGTCATGTATGGAGAAAAAGAAATGCAAGCATAAAGAAAACCGTTTTGTACTATTATGTCAATTGTTTAATTTGGAGGACGATCATTAATGTTGTGGGGGTGTTTTTTGTGGAAGGTACAGATTGACGGAACAATGAATGCAAACAAGTATATTGAAATAATAAACGAAAATTTAGAAGAGGCAGTTACGAAAATGGGACTTAAAGAAGAATTTCTTTTGCAATAGGACAACGACCTGAGACACACTACTAAAAGAAAAACAAAAAAATTTCAGGATTCCGATATCAAATTATTGGAATGGCTGTCACAAAGTCCAGATTTGGATCTAATCGAAAACTTATGGAGCGTACCGAATTCAAATGTACGATTAGAAAAATGGCAGAACAAGAGTAATTGTTTTAAATATTTACTATTGACATTTGGAAATATTAATAAAAATTACATTGAAAATATGATAAATAGCATTCCACGATGTTTAAAAGCAATTATTGCTACAATGAGTAGTCATACTACATATTGATTTTATATTTTTGTATATTTTATTACTCTTATTTTTGTCTTTCGGCAATTATTTCCGTTAAATATAACTTATTTCAACACAAATGTAAATATTAATTTCAATTATACGTTAAATAGTCTATGTGACATCAAAATATACAGGGGGAGGCACGAGCTGACAAAAAATGTTTCCTATCGAAGTTAATCAGTATTTAACCAATAAAAAGTTACAGCTACTTAAATTTAAAAAGAAATTGATTTTTTATAAGAAATTGAGGTTACTGTAATATTTTTAAATAAAATTAGGTATTTCTGACTTCATGGTATTGTAGGTGACGTCGAGACGAATTCTACGATCTGATACACTATGATCTTCAGATGACATTGAAAGAACAATTGCTATGATTCGATTGCCACAATATTTGAAATTCGGCGATTATAATTATATCGGCGATACAGGCCTCGTATTTGAATGTAAACAAATGAACGTAAACATTACGAATGCTTTATTAGTAGCATAACATTTATTCAACTTCAGGACTTAACACACAATATTAAAGAAAAGTCTATACAAAACCAAACTGAAAGCTTGTTAAAAAGGTGCATGTAATTAGTAATTAAATTAAATATTCGAACTGCATACCACCTACCTCAACACAAAGTTCTATTCGTTGTAATATAGTTTTATGTGTAGCTTCAATTAGAGAACCTCTTTCTACATTTCTACACATTTTGTATAAATTTTGTATAAATTTTCCTTTTATTTTGTGTGTTACGTTCTGAAGTTGCATAAATAAGCATTCGTAATGTTTACGTTCATCTGTTTACGTTTAAATCCGAGGCCTTAGTGTTATGTATCGCCGAATAATTTCAAATATTGTGGCAATCGATTCATGGAAATTTTTCTTTCAATGTCATCTGAAGGTCATAGTGTAGCAAGGTCGTTGGCTTAGTTCCATTTAAAAATATAACAGTGACCTTCAATTTTTATTAAAAATCAATTTGTTTTTGAATTTAAGTAACTGCAATTTCTTGTCGGTTAAATACTGATTAACTTCGATAGGAAACATTTTTTTGTCAGATAGTTCGTGCCTCACCCTGTATAAAACTTAAGTGCGTAATAGTTATACGTACTACTTTGTTTAAATTTAATTTATACTTATTTCCTTTACCTGTCCACTTAATTCTGTCCGTAATTGTAAACGCTAAACCAAAGCGTCGCGAAAGTGCTACAATAAATTAGAATAACCGTAATTTCGAACGAAAATTCTTAACCATTTGGGGCACTGTTTAGATACCAAAACACTTGGCACAGTTCTTGATCGTAAATAATTTTAAAAACATCAAAAGGAAAGAAATAACTTTTCTCCTTCACGTTTTGACCATTTGTCGACCGATCGACGGAGCAACGGATTATCGCCGCCATGTTTAAGCGGCTGTATTCCTTTCGAGTTTACCAAAGGGAGAATTAATTATACATTATATTACACCTATTACTGATTCGATGCAATATTATATTTTATTTTACTTATTAGTAATTTGATGTATTGTTTAAAAGTGTTTTAAATTTTATAAATTATACTTTCTCTCGCGAAGCCCACCATTTTCCGAATATTCTAGGAAATAGGTTTTTTTATATGTTTAAATTGTTACTATAATCGTGTGCAATCAAGAACCGTGCCAGGTTTTTTTTCTTGAAATTGCGTCGCGGGCTTGAATTTTCTCCAAAACTTCTACCACGAATTTAAATAACCACTGATCTGAGGAAATGAATCCAGAAAAATCCTGAATCCCCTCGTAATTTATGAGATCTGATATCGCGACGCGTTGCAACTAGTTTTCCGCTATTTTCGAATCGTTCGCTTCGTGAAATGTTCGTAGGGACTATCGACAGTTTGAATCTAGAAATCAAGAGATGTCTTTTTTGTTAATGTTCAACAGTTTATTAAAAGATGCTGTAACGTCAGCAATCTCTTTGATATTTACCTATGAAACATAATTGTTTTTATCTTTGTAAAGCTGTCACAGCGATAAATTAGCAACATGATTTAGTTTTTCTCAAGTGTTCTACTTTTTTTTACATTCTCATGTTTAAAACTAGAAAATGATGGATGTTCTTTTTATTAGTTCCCAATTCACAATGTGATACTTTGTAGTATAAAATACAAAAAAGGTTTTTTTAATTTGCAATTCAGAAACGAACCTCTTTCTTAAACTTCGACATCTATTTTGGAATATAATCAATTGCTTTCATTTTCTCGACTGAAATAAAATAAATTTCTACGATCGAGATATAGATAAATTAATTTAGCGATGGGAA